TGACCATAAGATTGTGTATCGGTGAGGACTTGGATAATTGCACACGCACACACATACACAATGCAGAAGGGGTGAATAAATACTCCCTCAGTGCTCGACATAAATCCACTTCCTTCTCTGGCAGGGATCTGAAATTAGACAATCTGCTGCTGGACACTAACGGTTTTGTCAAGATAGCAGACTTTGGGCTCTGTAAAGAAGGTGATTGTCTGTTATTTACTCGTTTAACGCACCGGCCCCCTAAAAGCTACTCCACCCTCACGCTCTCTTCTTTCTCCTGAGGCATGGGTTATGGGGACAGGACGAGCACTTTCTGTGGGACTCCTGAGTTTCTGGCCCCGGAGGTGCTGACGGACACGTCGTACACCAGAGCAGTGGACTGGTGGGGGCTCGGGGTGCTCGTCTACGAGATGTTGGTCGGGGAGGTGAGAACACAGCGCAGGAGTAGATTGAGATCCTTAACTGCATGAGAAGATGTTTGACAACCTCTGCCAGCTTGGAGTTGAGACATTTCCCAGATAAATTCAAAGGAAAAGTCAGTTTGCCATCGCTCACGTCTGAACTATGGATGTGAAGCTACAACCTGCAGATGGTTAATGTGGCAATGACGACTGGAAACGGGGAAAATGAGTCGTTAGGATTAATTGAGTCCATAGAAACGTATTCGATTGTGGCAGCCAGAGATCTTCTCTTCAAAGAGGAGTTCAATCCACCGTTTGGGATGTCGACCGAAGGGTCATCAGGGCAACAGGGCGGTAAAACACCCCGTGGTCGGCATCACTACGCTGGGGTCAATAAAAGGCCTGTATGGGCTTTGGCCCGAGCTAAAGGGACACAAGCTTGTAAAGGCTGCAACATCCACTCTTTGATAGACTGGTAATGTTTCCCATAAATTATTCAATCAAGGCTTTCAGAGGCCGAGTTCATAGAGCTCTTAAGTGTAATATGATGCAAACTAATGTGTCTGTCTCTTTCAGTCTCCGTTCCCAGGCGACGATGAGGAAGAGGTTTTTGACAGCATTGTGAACGACGAAGTGCGCTACCCCCGCTTCCTCTCCACCGAAGCCATCGGCATCATGAGACGGGTCAGACTCTGCTCATCATTCTGCTTGTGATGTTCAAATGTACAAACTGTACTTTTGAGCAGCATCATTTAGACGGCAAGTAATAAATGCTGGGGAATTTCTACCTGTCGCTTCTAGCTGCTGAGGAGGAATCCAGAAAGACGTCTGGGCTCTGGGGAAAAGGATGCCGAAGACGTGAAAAAACAACCGTTCTTCAGGGTGAGACTTTAGCTTTTGACTCTTGCTGTAACTGTGAGAGCTGCTGCTGATTAACTCAACCTACCTGTCGTCTAGGATGTGGACTGGGAGGACCTCCTTCAGAGGAAGGTCCCGCCCCCGTTCGTCCCGACCATCGTAGGGAAAGAGGACGTCAGCAACTTCGACGTGGAGTTCACGGCCGAGGCGCCTGCCCTCACGCCGCCCCGCGAGCGCCGCACCCTCTCCCGCAAGGAACAGGACCACTTCAAGGATTTTGACTACGTCTCCGACCTCTGCTAGGGTCAGAGGTCACGGGGGTCGCTAGCCGCCAGCGCGGCCGGCCGCAGACTCTGGGAAGAGACTGACGAGCAAAGGCCGACTCTGTCCCGCACAAGGAGGGAGGGACTTGAAGGTGACGGCAGAGGCTAACCCCCTTTTCCTCTCCGCCTGTCTCGTTGCGACAGGACGAAGAACTGGCCGGGCGTCAATCGGCGGTTGGATGGCGTGTCACGCACATGTGCAGTGTCACGGACCCGCCGACCGATCTGTGACACTGCGTGGCTTTTGGAAGAGGAGGAACGGGTGATGAAGATAATCCAGATTATGTTACAGATGAGAGGAGTGACCCTGCCGTCTGTCCGTCAGGGCGAAGCACACTGAAACCGCCCCCCGAATCCCAGTCAGAGTCAAAAGTGATTATTCTGGCAGGAAGCAGTTTGTCTGTTCTGCCCTGCTCTCATCTCACGTCCCTTTACCTGCGCTGTTTTTGTTGCTGCTGAGTGCGTGTGCATGTGCGTGTGTCGTTTGCTGTCCTGCCTCAGCCATGAATGTATCCTCGTCAGCTGCTCTTGCAATACTCTTACATTAACACATGGGGGAGCCCGAGGAATGAGGACCCCTTTTCATCGGCCTCTCATTATCCGTCCTCCTTCACAAAACAGATTTTTAACTACAATCAATTCTCGACAACAAAAATTTTGTTCTTTTTGCGATCGATGTCCCCCCAACACCGTTTTTTTTTCTCTCTGTCATTTGCTGTTAAAATATGTACAAACTGTGACTCAGTAAAAATGTGAACCCAACACAGAGGCATTCATACGTCTATTTTCCTTTCAGTTGATTGTGCTTACAGAGGAAAACCAGTGATGGATTGCAATGAGATTTTTTTTATTTCAAGAAGAAAGAAATAGTCTTTTATTGATCCCGGTGGGGAAATTGTTGTCTGCATTTAACCCATCGCACACAGTGGGAGCAGTGTGTCTTGCTCTGGACTCTTCGACACGGGACATGGAGCAGCCGGGGTTTGAACCGCCAACCCTGCGGATCCCGGCGCACCCTGCGCCGTGGTCGCTGCCACATTTCATGGTCCCCAGAGGATAAATTGTGCAGACACGGATGATCCAATGTCTTCTTCTCTAGCGATACCATGAGGTCGACCTTTGTGGTTCTTAGTAAAAAAGATTCACTATTGGTGTATAACCATCAAATTCATGTTCCCTTCAGGATGAATCGAATATAACGTTTCATCCAGCGGCATCATCAGGTCAACTTTTTTCATTTCGCCATGTATATACTTGCAACATTCCCATCGGCCTCAGCCTGGTCTAGCGCTAATTAGCAAACGATAGCATGCTAACACACTAAGCTACGGTGCGGTGAACTCTGATGGTTCTTATCACATGAAGTAAACTGGACACCGTGTTAATTTATTTATATGAATGTTGTTCAGGGGCCCATGAATCAAAAAAAGTGACCTCATCTTAGTGTAACTCGTATCTTCCATCTTTTGCATTCATGAGCCCAGAGAACAAAAACTGTTTTTGTTTTCCTTTCACTTCGCCCCAAAACCTCTGGGTCAGCGTTAAAGATCTGATATGGAGTCTGACTGGGCTTACTTCAGGTTTTAAAAAGGCCAAAAGAGTAGGAAAAAAAGTTTTAGAGCGGGAAACCACGCCACGTATGACCAAAGCCTGGACACAGCATCGACAAATAATGCCACTGTAGCTTGGAAAATAGCAACATGTGGCACTGAATGTGATCATTTTACTGTTTATAAAACCACAACCGAGACATTAGTTGGCCCCTCCGCCACTGTCCCTAACCGCAGGGACTACTTCGCTGGGGAGAGAGCAGGCGCCACCTTTGGAGACGGATTACGGTTGTAGGAACTATGTATTGAAATACGATCTGATCATGGAAGCTTAACCATGTGATTATGCTCTGTAACCGCCGTTATGAGTTGTAAGCGCCGTTATGAGCTGTAATTATTGAAATTTCACTCTTTTATTTAAATCTGCCATGTCAAATTTCTCTTAAACATGGACAATTTAGTTTGTCTCTAAAATATCAGAAAACGCTGCTCGTTATTTACCTCAGGTCAGAATGAAATATTTAAATTGCATGTCCAATCCCATCATGAGTCCAAAACTTAAAATAGGTGAACAGTGAACACTGAAACTATAATGCAGTGTGTAATTACTGAATATTTCTGTCACAGCATGCTGCAGGAGGGTTCATCAGTATCAGTAGCAGTGAAATGTTCAAGGTGACCTCACTGTCGGGGGTCAGATGGGCTGTTCTCTCTCTCTTAAGTAAGAGATGGTAAGAACCATTATGTCATTACTGTGTTGTGAGGACATTAAACAAATCTACTGTCACATTTCCTCTGCGCAAGCGTCCACAAAGTCAAAGGTCTGGATTGTAAGTGAAAATTCTCTTCACTAGGAAATATTCCAAATCTCCTGCAGCTGGCCTTTTTTAGCACCGCACTGTGTGACTAATGCGTTGAAGTTTGGCCTAGACAGAGTCACAAGAACTGTCCCAGCAGTCATGCCGGGTTGTTGTTGAACCAGCATGCATCTGCACTTAGAAGAAGCAGAGCATTGATCTCACCCAGTGATAACTGTTGTCTTTTGTTTTGGTGACATTCGGTATTATGAAGGCAGCGCAGGTACTGATTCAGGCTCTTGTCATCTCACGCCTGGACTACTGCAACTCCCTCCTGCAGGTCTCCTGCTACCGCCATTCCACCTCTGCAGCTCATCCAGAATGCAGCAGCTCGACTGGTCTTTAACCTTCTGAAATTCTCCCACACTCCTCCACTCCTCCGCTCTCTTCACTGGCTACTGGTGGCTCATCCAGTTCTAAACACTGGTGCTCACATACCATGCTGTGAATGGATCGGGTCCAGCTTACATCCAGGACATGGTCAAACCCGACATCCCGACCCGCACTCTCCGCTCTGCATCTGATAAACTGCTTGTCCTTTATAAATCCCATTAACACGGTGGACGGACAGCTACTTAAAAAACAAATTTTTTGGTAATTATTTACATGACATAAATTTCCATCTTAATGCTTCAAAATAAATGCCTGCAACTGCACGTAAAGCTTCCTCTCTGTTCAAATTAACCAACATTTCTAGAAGCTTGCAAAGTGCCGGTGTTTTAAAATAAACTGCTGTGGTTTAAAGCGCCGGCAGTTTCAGAAAATGTATCGGCATTAGGCGAACACCTGCAGATTTCAACTCCGATGTATCAAATAGGTCTAAACTGTTTTCTTATTCTTTTTATCTCTCGCAGGATTTCCTGCAAATCTGAGAAAGGAGAACTGGGACAGAGGTTCTAACTGCTCGTGTGTGTGTGTGTGTGTGTGTGAGGTAGCACAGCTGCTAGAGACCTGTTTGTGCACTTCTTCTGCATCGTTCATCGCTCTGCAGAAGAAGTGCGAACGCGCGCTTACTCATCGCCGCATCCTGAACCATGTTTGCTTGTTGCCCGCGAGCCATCGCGTCATCTCAAAGGGGCAGCAACTCGTCACACGGAGCGACGTGCCTCTGGATCGGGCGGGATCTACACTTGGTTGAAGAGGCTCAAACGCAGACACACATCATCACTTCGTTGGCGTTGGCGAGAGACGGAGCACAAGGTCAAAGATGCTCTGAGCGGCAAACAGGGCCTGTTTGAACAGTCTGTCACTGTTTGTAACTGTGAACCAGCTGGACAACTGCATTCTGAGTGTGAATTCTGTTAATGTACATGTGGCCATAAAATATGTATTAAACGAGCTGAGATGCATGTCGCCTCACATTCACTCACAAATCACATGCAAGTCAAAGGTGTGCTTTACATACAATCTAGATTGACAGTACAACCGAGTAAACTGTGTGTTTTCATGTTGTTGTGTTCAACGCAACACTCTGTTTTGTCCATTCTAACCCTTGAATAAAAATGTTCACCAGCTAATCACCCACTTTCTTTCCGTAGTGAGGTGCTGAGCTGGTTGTGCAAAGCGGCTTTTTAAAAAAAAAAGAAAAATGTAGAGCTTTTCTGCAGAAAGAAAACAACCCTAAAGGAAGCAGCGAGAGTGGTCCAAAACATTATGGGTGCATCCATCTGTAAAACCACAACAATTAGCTGGCAGACTGCTCTGCTGAAAATGAAAATGTCGCTCACTGTAGCTTTAAATCTGAATATAGATTTTTTTTTTCTTTGCTTAAACGTTTAGAGAGTAATTTCAGAAATGAACCTCCTAGTAATAGAAGCACATGGTTTCATCATCATCGATCATCTAGCCTTGAGCTAACAGTGTAATGAGGGTGCTACATCCAATAATGAGGGAAATCTAACACACAAAGTACAATCACATCTCAAAAACGTTCTGAGGGAGATTCCATGACGTTATTGGAAAACGGTCCTCTTGACATTGTTTTCTGGCAGAAAATAACAGCCCACATTATTGTCCATGAATGACTTTTTATAGTTGGTTCACTGAAAGCTACAAATATATAACAAAAGTGTTTTGCTATTCAAATATAAAACTCAAACCAATAACAATATTTTTCAATCAATCAGGTTTTATTATCCAGCATGTGAGAATTGAGACCATTAAACTATCAAACATTATTTACAAATGTAATTTCGCTGTCACCCCATTGCCTCGTGCTCTCTGTTCAGACTGTGCCTGTCTCCATAGCCACAGTGCGTCTCTTGGTGGCGCTGCAGGTCCACCCTGCGCTGGAAGCTGTGGTGACAGCCGGGGCAGCTGAAGGGCCGGTAGCTGCTGTGCTTTCGGCTGTGGGTGAGGAGGTTGGAGCTCTGGCTGAACCCTTTCCCGCACACTTTGCACACGTGCGGTTTCTCGCCTGTGGGAGGGAAGCGCGTAGAGTTTGAGTGAGTTTAAATGTTTCCACAGCACGAGTTCGCCCCACTGCTGTGTTCACCCACCCGTGTGTATGAAGGTGTGCTTCTTCATGTCCGACTTCTGGTGGAACCTTTTGTTGCAGTACTGGCAGGGGTAGGGCCGTGTGTCCGAGTGGATGAGCAGGTGCGTGGAGAGCGTGGATGAGCGCTTAAACGCCTTCCCGCACACCTTGCAGTTGAAGCTACGCTCCTGGATACGCAAACACATTGACTTTGACATTGGGACAAACCAGGAAATCCATGAGGAGTAATGTATTTGTCCTTAAACTCACGAAAACCTCTTTCTCGGCGTACCTTAGCTCTGACGTAGCCGCCTATCGCTCTGAAGCCAAAGGGCATGAGGGGCACGCCGATGGCGGCGGGAGATCTTGACAATGGGCCGGAGACGTTGTTTTGCAGATGAGCCTGCAGGTCACCTCCTGTTATCAAAAGTTCTGAAAGAGACTGACGGCGACGGACAGAGTGAAGAAAAGAAAAGGAGGATCAAAAGACATGCCGGTTAGTTTAATTGATCTAAAATGGCCCGTAGGTGTGTGAAAGTGAGAGTGAATGGTTATTTGTCTCGGTCAGCCCTGCGATAGATTGGCGACCGGTCCAGGGTTTACCCCCCCACACCCCCTCCCTGCTGTATATATATATCGTCTATATAATTGACGTAAAACATTTAAAGGTTTTTAGATATAGATATTGACGCTTAAATGAAGCAGCATTTATTATGCCTATCTTTGATCTGAACTATTCACCGTGCCGCAGCAAAGCCTCTTAACCTTTTCAACCCCCCCCTTTGTTAACAAAATGTCACCACGAAAAGAATAACTGCAAACACACTCTCGTTGATCAGCACACATTTTATTGTCAACCTCTGACATGTTACTTTTATCATTATTTACCTAAAGGTTCCTCTTTCGTTATGGCTGCAGATAAAGACTGAGATAAAGCATGAATATCCTGACATTGCGCAGGCCTCCTACCTTTCCACAGAGCCGGCACTCGCTGATCGGGGATTGGAGGTCGGTGTGCGACGTGTGGTTGAGCAACAAGTAGACCAGTGCCTCCAGTTGTCTCTCTCGTTCGGATACCTGGTGTCTGTCCGCCGGCCAAGGCGAGACCCTCAGAGGGTCGCTGCTGTTCTCCACGGGCACTTTTTTTAGAACATGACAGGATGATTGGAATGATCTTAGTTTACAGGCAATCGTTTTCTTTTGGGTCTTTGTGGAGTACAGAGCCGCACTAAAAATCAGGACTGAGATACTTGCTATGTCAACGACACCTACTTCACGCTTGCTAACTAGAAGGTTCTGGGTACCTGAATGCCAAGGTTCATCTGCAGAGTTCCTGTGAGAACAGACTGCATCCACCTCCCCTGGGGAGCAAGCCAGCAGGTCTTTTACCCCTAACCTGGGGGGCGAAGAGCTCAAAGCATCCTGGGGCCACCCCCTGGTCTGTCCTGGCTCATGCTGCACGGGCTGGTTGTCTGTTTGGGGCTGCTGGTGTTGTCTGTAGGGGTCCTTGGGTAGGCCGAGCAGGTGGGCCCTTTTACTCCTGACGAGGAACGACCGCGGCATGGTTGTGACTGAGGCAGGTGACTGGAGACGAGGGGACAAATCCTGCAGAGTAAAACCCGGGGAGGGGTCTGAAAAATCTGCTCTTTCAAGTCACGTTTGGAGCCCCATGTGGCACACCTGCCGCTTCATCTTCAGTTACAATGCCAAAGCTTGAGGTTTCCTCAGCAAATACACAGCCCTGCACACCTGCACCAAAGACTTCAGGGCTTTCACTGAGGACAACCCGACTTCTAAACTGATTCTGTGGTACACGTTTTATACTTCCATTTGAGCTGCGTGTATGCTATTTAGACATTGAGAACATTAGTTCCACATTACCTAAATGAAACAAATAAATGAGAAATATTCATCAAATTAAAAAGAAATGAATTCTTTATACTTCTTTGGTATTAGTTGTCGGTCATTTTGTCAGTTAATACGATGAGCAGGAACAAGAAAAGCCTCAAAAGAGAGAGAACACAAGAGAACCACGTGGCAAATGAGCAAATTCCTTTTACCAAAACCTTTCTGCTGATCTATGTTCTGTATTTTATTTTGCATGAGCCTCTGAAATAATAAAGATGATCGGTGAGAGCTGAAGTGTCGATCTTACCTCTGTCTTGTGCAGCTGAACAGGGAGCCTCTCTTGTTGCTTTCTCTTTCTCACTCCCATCAACTGATGACAGGAGACGAAGAGATTCAATCTGATGTCAAAGGGCTGCAGAGGATTGTCGGTCTTAGGCATCGAAGGGGTAAAAAATGGCCCAAAAAGTATATTTAAAAAAAAGGACTATTATGTAACTATGACTATTTCAAAATATGCTCTCTGTTGACTTCCCTTGTTCTGAACAGCAAAGTGGAACAATGACATGACAACACCTCTGTCTTCTCTACACTCAAGGTTGAGGGCTCACTGTGAATAAAGGTGTCACGATAGCAGAGTTGAGTAACCAAGAATAAGAGAAACTTGAATACTGTGCAAAACGGTTGTGTTGCTGCTGAATAAAGCACTACAGGAACTTGTCGTGTGGGTAAACCCATAAATACACTGAGCATTCTTTGAAAAGTTTGAATATCTCATACTTTCTCACTTTTTTTGATGTCTGGGTGTTTTTTATTATTCAGGTGTGAAGTCCCACACAGTCCTTTTAGTGAGCAGCGGGGAGACTTTCAGACTTTTTCACCCTAACCTTTTTGTCAGGAAGATGCAGAAATTATTGAATTAAATATCATTTATTTAAACTCACATTTTGGAAAGAAATAACATCTGCAGTGATATAGTAACATGTAGCTCTTCGATTATTAGCAATTAGAAATAAACAATACTGCCAAAAAGCGGTATCTATGCAAATAAGCACTAATATCTTTATTAAAGATACCTTTATCAATTAGACAACATTTCCAAATACGTGATGAAATACTATTTCGAGAACAATATTAACCGTTCAAATATTTATTTACAGGAATGGAACTATTTACTTTTAACTTTTACTATTAACTTTGCCGCATCCTACTCAGAGATCAACCATGAAACCTTGGTTTTAATTGTTTTAAGTCTAAATCTCCACTTTGCCTCATATATTTTACAATACAACAACACAAAGAAACACAGGACTTGGAGACTGCTGTTTATGTCCAGTGTGAGACAAAAGTCATCTTTCGCTTGTTTTGATTAACGTAAAGACCCCAACAAACATACTTATGTTAGTCAAACCAGTGCTTTACTAAACCTGACCAAGTAGTGTAGCTGCCTTAACTAAAACAAGTAGTTGGTTGACTACGTGTTTTAAACGGCAAGAAGGGCAAATATGTTCCCCCATAAAATGCAGTGGAGCAATGAGAGTGCAGGTCAGTGGTGTGGGGACACCATCAAGCAGGAGACAGGGTGCACTGTTTAAATGTGTGAGTGCTACAATAACATATTTATTCCAAATAAATGTAAGAAACCACACTAAAGAATACAGTACTATATTTCTATAATCATATTGCTGTGAGTAAACACACAAAGACTCAATAACTACGACCAACAAAGGTGTCAATTCTTGGTACAAAGACTACAAAACACACTCGCAAAGGTATCTTGAATCGAGGTAACAATTAATGAGGCCTAAATCTGACCGCAGATTAAAATCAAATCATCAAGGCCCACGTGCATGTGAGCTGAAACCAAAGCGTTTCTCAATGTGGCTGTATTTATGCAAACATCTCATTTGACTCCTGGTGCCGTGAAAGCATCAAAGCGGAGCCGAGTTCGCCTCGCTCTGCACGAGTAGAGGCATGCTAGTGCACTGTGGTCGATGTGGTGGGGGGCTCGCAGCCTTCTCCCAGGGGCTGTCGGGGAGAGCAGACGAGAGTGGCGCAGGGAGCTGAGACGGGCTGGTGGGTTCGGTGGGTTTCTGCCTCATTTGTTTTGGGGGGTTCAGGGGCTTCTTCTTCCCCCCCGATGGTGGTAGAAAACTGCCTTTCTAGGAACCTGAAACTCTGGGAGGGGGAGGGGGGGGGCGCTAGTTTGAGTCTTTAAATCCGACTATGTATATCAAGTGGGAGGAATATAGCCTGTTACCTGTTGTGTTGAATACATACATGAATGAGTGCTGCTTTTAGGATAACGAATAGCTGCCAACTGCCGTCTAACCAACTATCTAAGACTAACATTAACTAATTATGGGATGCAACATTTGGTTTTAGTACCAAACCCTTCAAAACAAGTACTAACATGTGATCTGTTCTACTAACTTTTGCTTCTAAACCAGTAATCCAAAAAAAAGAGGAAACTGGTGTCTTACAACCTTATTTCCTCAAAAAGGCCACCTTTACACATTAAAGTGAGACGGTAGTTTTCTCTCAGAAGTCACACAACTCTCAAAGTTTCCAGTCTTAATTTATCAATAATCTCACGCAACGTTGCTTAATTGAATACTTGTATCACTGTATTTGGCCTGGTTTGGCCAGTAGCTAGTTAGCCGTTGTTTGTGAACTTTCGATAGATATTGATGTATAACAGAATTACAGAGACCCAAGACTCTTCTTTTACGGGGTGTAATGTGTTTTTGCATTTACAGACATCCTGTAATTTGCAGTTGACGTGGCTGCTGCTCCGCAAAGGTTAGATAGTGTGGCTTTAAGATATCTTCACACATCATGGGTTGTACTGCTCAGCCTGTGGAAGCAGTTTCATCATAGTGTCTGTTGTGGTGCTGGAGAAAGCTTTCCTGATGATGTTCTTCAGGTGAAATCTAGTGAAAACAATATGTTTTGCCGTAGTGTACTTGAGTTATTGTAGAACACGGCGGGAACGGAGTGAACACATGCACAGACACCATCCTAACGCAGAAACATCATTATATTATACTGTAGGACACCGAGCACATCTAGCTAACTGATATTTGTACAAGCATTTTTGTACTCATTTGCGTAGGAGAGGCGTCAGATTGTCAGGCCACAGTCTCAGCACTTTGGTGTTTATGTGTGTTGCCGCTGTGGCTTCTGGCGGTGGTTTCAGTCAGGAGACTTAACAAATGAAGCGCTCTGCCACTTTCTCACGGCCAGCAGCTTCTCTTTCCTCCTGTCACCAGATCACTGACAGTAACACCCACCCTATTGCACACTCATTTCAACTTTTGCTCACTTTGGTTGAAGGACAGTGCTGGGCTTTCCTTTCCCCATTAGCCACAACATTGCCTCCCACTGGACAGGAAACTAGTACGTAGGATGATGCGGTAGTTTTACGGCTTATTACATCCAGTACTGATTATAACAAGAAAATACATCGTATAACCGATGGCAGTGGTGAAACCTCTCAATTTCAGTCCATTGATGCACATCCCCACTCCCACACAAACAGCCAACTCACAGATGTGCATCACAATGCGGGGTGTCAGAGAGCTGAGGAGGTGTGAGAACGCCAAGACATGGTAGGAAGCCACAGCCTATGTTCGCATAATCAATGGTGCAGATATAGAGAGAGAGCCTATACTTTATACCCACAGGCCAACAAATGTATGAGTGGATGACTAACTTATATATTACAGCAGGCCTACTCTCATTGCTAAATTCAATATGACATGTGGATCAAAGAAGAGAGTATATGTATAATGTTGCACGTTCTAAAAGCCTGCGCAGTTTTGGTACATTTAGCAATATCCTATGGAGAAAAAAAAGCACGACAATATTCATATGTCACTTTTTCAAACATTTCACGAGAAATTCATGTGAATTCAAGCAATAACTTTCCAAGGATAATGTTTGGCAGTAACACAAAGTTGTTAAATAATATAAATGTTTCACCTAAATGTAAATGTTACATGTAAATATAAATGTTGAATATAAATGTAAATATAAATGTAAATGTTAAATATAAATGTTAATGTTAAATGTTCAGTCTACATATACATATACATACAAGACTTGACAACTGAACATTGCAATATTTGTGGTAATTCATGCCGCAGCAGCAAAATAATAATAAAGTGAGCAAGAGGTTATAGGAATTGAATGTATTATACATCTTTTACATTGTTCATTCTGTACACATGACATCCATTGTAGTCTGTCCATCCCAGGAGTGGGATCCTCCTCTGACGTTCTCCCTAAGGCTTCTTCCCTTTTTCCCCAAGGAAGGGTTTTTCATTCATTCCTGTGCCGATGTGAGGGTTTCGGGGCAGAGGATGTCACATGTGTACAGACTGTAAAGCACTCCGAGGCAAATGTATAATTTGCGATTTTGGTCTATACAAAATAAAATGAATTGAATTGAACCAGCCTACCGTTTTGCTTATTTTGTAGCCATTTGTCATGTTACGAGGGAAACATAGTGGAATTAGCGGGCATGAGCTATCTAACTAACAAATGCTAAGTTTGTCAAATTAACAAATTGAATGACCCATCGAGACACTCCTATGATAATCAGTCATTATCACTGACTTACCGGTAATGTCATGTATGTATATAGATAGATAGATAGATTTTATATGGCATGTGAGAGCTTTTTATGTCTAAATATATTAGCCATTTGATCTGGTTTGCTGCGAGCTTCTGAGGTTGTGAAGTTTTATACAGGAACTTGTTAATCCTGTCACATAACACGACCCCACCCAAATCATCCCTGCCTACGGGCAAGGTCGTGTCACTGCCTGTTACTCTGTGTTGCAAATGAAGAGGTGTGAAGCCGCAGGCCTTTTTGCAGCAGACCTCTGAAAGCGAGGGGGTTGATATCGGTCCGCTTGTAATGTTGAGCTTGCCACGCCACAGCCCTGCTTAGACATTAAAAACAGGCTCAGTGTTAGCATTTAGTTCAAAGCACCACTCTGCTTGAGCACAAGTTCTCATATAAAGCAGCTTGTTGACCTGCGTTGGTCTCATCAAGACACTTTAACCCATGTGAAGGACTTCATACAGACACAGCCAATCCAACACATGTGATATTCAGTCAACAACAACAAAAACGTGTAACACTGTCAGTCTGTTTGCTGTTTATCTGAGAATGATGATTGCTACTGGTTTTAGCTTCAACGCCACAATCCATCAATCGTAGGCTTGACTTTGCATGTAGCAGTGGGCCTAGATGATCATTTGTTGTGTCCCTGTCACTCAAAGTAACATTTTCACATCTTGTTTTCTTTGTGGCGACAATATATGACAATATATCATATTTTGTCCCTGTTTGGCCCCCAAAATCAAAGCTAGTCCCCATAATGTGACTGTGTATTTCCCCACATGTGCAAAACAAGCAGAAAGACACACATTTTCATACTGGCAAATACAATACAGACCCACACAAAATACACACCCCAGCTGGTAGAGTAGATCATGATGTGGTTTATTGTCAGTTTGAGTCCTTGCTCAAGATTCTTCTTCACCCAAATACAAAGAAGACAGCAGCCTAACCTATATATGACATGCACACAACACACACAAACGGCTGCAATACAACAACGCATCCCGGTCCTCGGGCCTCTGTGAGCTGTGTGGAGTCAGATGATGCTTGTGTGGAACGCACAGTACAGTAACTTCAGCAGCACCTGCTGGATAATGCTGGACATAATGTTGTAAAACATTTAGGGTCCATGAAAACAGGCTGGAGCTGTGGTTAATATAATGTAATGCCTTTATCAAACATGACAAAAGGTTGGAGATTAAACCACCCAACTAACTTCTTCTCAACCTGAACTGTATTTTTACTATTGGTATATAGTATATTGCGTTTTTCTAATAATTGCCTCTCTTGTGGTAGTAATTTGTGGCCAATATTCCTCTGATGTTTCCCTCAGTCCGTTCTGAAGGAGTTAAACAAAAGCCCCCCTCGCCCCCCCTGTTTTGTCCTGAAAGGGCTTCTAGTGTTGAATTAGATTTTTCAGCCCCACATCCTCCGCTGCCACGGCAACCCTTGAAAAGCTGCGTGTCGGGCCAGCACAGGAGGAGTTTGTTGTAAGTTTCACGGCAGAACCGGACAGCGCCGGAATGAAGTTTCTGCAAAGCGGCTGAGGGCTGATCGGAGGAGAGAGGTGCAAAGGAACAAGTTGTTTACCGAGGTATGTGAAAGTTAATCCAAGAACTGTTTGATTGGGATTCGTTTTTGTAACGAGAAGTAGACTTGAGAGAAGTTAGCATACAATGGAAACTGTGTTTGGGGTTTAGTCTTAATTAGCAACTGCTGGTCAAACAATATTTATAGGTCCAAATGTGATCGGTAATATGAAAACTAAAGGGTAGTAATTAATTAATAGACAATTTTGATATGGCTCTTTTCCCTGAAGCTCTTTGCATTGGCCGTTTTGTATGATAGTTATGTCTCCCTGACCATTACTTGTCAAACGTTTATCAGTCAAAAACATTTCATGTTGTGTGTCGGTGTGGTTTAAATTAGATTTGGTCGTCAGCATAAGCAAACAGAGAGCAACAGAACCACAATCCCACCGCAATCAAATATTGCAAATGCCTGATTCATTTGACCTTTTTTCAGAAACCCAGAAATCTCTCATGTGAAATGAAACGATTTGTGGGCCGGATCCTCTCATTCTGTGACTTAATCGGGATGTTCCTTGTTCAACCCGCGGACAAGCCGGACTCATCCTTGTACATCACTTCATCAGTTTAACTGCGTAGCCCAGATCTTTCTGCACTAATTCACATTTTTTCTACAGTCATCCCTGTGCGACCCAGAGGCTGCCATGTTTTCCCTTTCCGAGCTGGCGCCTCTGAACCAGCATCAGGGTCGGTGTAAGCTGTTGAAGCCCTGGTGGGAGGTCTTCATGGACTACCTGGTGGTCCTGATGCTGATGGTGTCCGTGCTGGCTTGTACAGAGCAGCTGTCCAGGGATCGAGTGGTGTGCATTCCCATGGATCCAGTCACTAGTGCGAACACCAGCAATCACGGCCCTTCCACCAGTGGACCAGCATTGACTCCATCTTCAAAGCCCCCGACTCATGTTCCACGCAACGTCAGCCCAAAACTCCCCCCTGTAGGCCGGGGTAGACGCACACATCTGGCCCACCAGCAGTATGTCTACATTAGCCAGGTAGTGTAATGCTTCTGTAATGGGTCTTTACAAATGATGCAGCAGAAGCAGGGCAACAGATTAAAACGATTCCTTGAGGAACGTAATCCTCAACACAGCCATAATCAATATTTCTTCATCAACAACGGATCAAGTAAGTTGTTCATAATGAAAAGGCCAGAGAGTATTACCTGATATTGCAGCTGCTCTCAGCTCTTTATTACCTGCAGCTCTTCTGCCTGTGGTTCAGTCTCACGGCTGGTGTCATTTTATGGCATTTAAGTGTCTTCTCTTCTATCCGTCTTAGGTGTGCTACCATGAGGCTTTGCCTCTGTGCTCCCGCTTCTTCCCGTACATGGCCATGCTGCAGTCTCTGGTGCTGGTGGCCAGCGGCTCCTTCTGGCTCCACTTCCCCCACACCTCCGCCCGCATAGAGCACTTCCTGGCCATATTGGCAAAGTGCTGCGAATCACCGTGGACATCTCAGGCCCTGTCTCATGCTGCCCGGCAGGATAGCATCCAAGAGAAGGAGGTGGTGGAGGAGGAGAGACGGGCGCCACAGCCTCCTCTCTCTTCAGCTTCATCTTCACACCCGGTGACCCTCGCGAGACGAACGAGCAGAGACTCGGGCACCGACAGCCCGCTTTTGGAGAGGTCAGGCGGTGCGTCCTTTGGCTGCCCTCCCTCCCCGTGCCCCTCCACGCTCTCCTGTAACTCCGCCTTGTCGTCCACGTCCACGTCCCGTGGGTCCAAGTTGCCCTTTCCTCCCTCCAGCCATGTCATGGATGACAGTCCCAGGCAGGTCATGAGTTTAGACAAAAGTGACGGGGAACAGGCCAGGGCGCTGTTCGAGAGGGTGAGGAAATTCCGGTCACACAGCGAAAGCTCGGATGTCATCTATAAGGTGAGAGCTCCTCTGGTCCACGTAGCTTATTTATAACATAATCTATTTTTTCTTTTGTGTTAGCTTGACTGTTGAAACATTTCCTTTTAGTTTTTTAATTGTCCACATTATTATGAGACTATATAGAGCTTTATATTTATTGCAACCTGCTGGTTTTTAAATTTAAAAGGTAAAGTGTGTCGCATCTATTAGCAGAATGCCATTTAAATATAATTAAGTATGTTTTCTTCTTGTATAATCACCAGAGTGTGCCGTTTATATTGACAAATGGAGCAAGTCTTCTTTAAAGTAATAAACACGACCAAATCCAACGCTGGCTTTGGGTGGAGCCGTAGTCCTGTTTATGTGTCAGCTACAGTACCTGCTCTTCATGCACAGAACAGTTTGTTCCTTACACCTCCCTGTCATCTATTCAGGTCTACCTCGCTCAGACAGTATTGAAATTGCTGATGGTGACGCTGATCTTGAGTTACAGCATCCCTCTTCTCAGCTCCCTCTCCTTCACCCACACCTGTCACCCTGAGGAGACAGCCTTGGTGGGCTACGATACCTTCCAGTGTATCCATGTGCTCTCCTCCCTCCTACGCAAGCTGCTCATGGCCTACCTGTCCCTACTGGGGCTGTACGCCATGCTCAACTTTTACACCCTCAGCTGGATTTTACACAGGTCAGCGCATTGGTGTAAAGTCTGTGCGAATACCTTTAAAATAGATGTTGATTAAAGTTTAGAGCCACACTAATATAAATATATATTTATATATTAACAAAGGATTAATTAACGACATTTAATGTCAAAGGATGTGGCTTGCGAGGAAGGGCACTTAACTGACTCTTTCAAGCCATTGTTTCTGATGCTTTAGCTGATTGAGAGTCAGATTTTACCCCAATGGAGTGGGAGGAGACCAAAACAGTTTAGAGGACAGTTAATAATGCACCGACATGAGACTGAAAAAACAGCACCCTAAAATAAATACAAATGTTGCTCCACGCATTCTGGAATGTGTAGAGGCCGTATGTGGCCCACGATGCGAAATGAGTTTGATACCCCTGGTGTAGATTAAATGCTGTTAGTTGAAATTCTTTATGATCAGTTATTAGCAACTGTTAGTAGAAACTGGGGTTAGAGCTTGAAAGGCCCTTAAAGCATACCTGAGGCCTGTTAATAGGATTACAGTGAAAAGCTGTGTTGGGCGACTGTGTGATATATTTTTCCACCTCTGCCCTTCTCAGCTCTCTGCGCCAGTATTCCTTCCACTCCCTGAAGGAGTTGTGCTCTCTGAGAGATGTTCCTGATCTGAGAAAAGACCTGGCTTTTCTTTTACACATGTTGGACCAGTATGATCCTTTGCTGGCCCAGCGGCTGTCCGTCTTTTTGTCCCCTGTCAGTGAGAGCAGGCTGCTGGGAGAAAGCCTGGAGAGGCGATGGGGGGAGGAGAAGCTGCGCGCCATGACGAGGGTGGACGCAGAGGGCTTCTCCAGACTGCAGCTGGTGGCCCTACCTCGCCTCCCTCCGGCCCTCTTCACCCTCAGCCAGCTTCAGGTTCTCCAGCTGGAGCTCATCGCAGATGCCAGGTTCACTGAGCAAGTGTCAAAGATGACCTCGCTAAGGTGGGTTGTGCAGTGGTGCAGTTCCGCTTCACACATTTGAAACAATGCAAATCAAACGATATATATTTTGTTAAAGGCACATTACGCTGTGAACGTACATATACACGTCTTTGGTGGTTTCTTCACCCAACAGGGAGCTCCACCTCTATCACTGCACAGCAGCGGTGGATCCCGGTGCACTCAGAGTCCTCCAGGAACATCTGGAGGTTCTCCACCTCACCTTTACTCAGGCATCAGAGATCCCCAACTGGGTGCTCTCCCTCCGCAGCCTGCACCAGCTGCACCTCTCCGGCCGCCTAAGTAGTGACGGTGGGTTGGGCCGCGGCTGGGCGTTGGGCAGCCTCCGCCAACTGCGTCACCTCCGTGTGCTGGTGATCCGAGGCATGCTTCAGCGGATCCCAGGGGAGCTGTGCGAAGTGGCCGGCAGTTTGGCGAGGCTGGAGATCTACAACGAGGGCGCCAGGCTGCTCGTGCTGACAGGCCTGAAGCGCATGGTCGGCCTGACTGAGCTGCTGCTGCAGGACTGCCGGCTGGAGCGTTTGCCCTCGGCCCTGCTGGCTCTCGCCAACCTGCGGACGCTCGACCTGCAGCACAACAACTTGCGCACTCTGGAGGAACTGCTTAGCCTGGCTCATCTGCGCCGTCTTTCTTGCCTTAGGCTCGCCTACAACCGGATTCTGGCGCTGCCAGCTAGCGTTGGTGTGCTGCGAGGCCTGGAGCTCCTGGATCTATCCAACAACCAGCTTCACAGCCTCCCCCCAGCGCTCTTTACCCTCCGGGGCCTTCGCAGGCTCCTGGTGGCTGGTAACCTTCTGGAGGAGCTCCCCGCAGAGGTAAAGGCACTACAGCTGCTCACAGAGCTGGACCTCAGTGGGAACCGGCTCGACAGCCTCCCCCCGCAGCTTTTCAGCAGCTGTTTGGAGCTGCACATCCTTAATGTGGCTCGCAACTCTCTCAGCTCACTACCCAGGGGGATCTCAGCTTTAAGTCGGTTGTCCAAGTTGGACTTGCGCAGTAACAGTCTGGAGGCACTGCCTGCTGAATTGGGCTGCTGCACAGGGCTGCACAGAGGTGGTCTTCTCGTGGAGGACTGGCTGTTCCTTTCTTTGCCTACACAGGTCAGGGACTTGCTGAGCCGTTCTTGCGCCCCCTGTGGTGCTCCCTCAGAAGGTCATTCTCGCCCAGATTCAGATAGTTTCCCATACTTCTGTCCGACACAGTGGAGTTTCTCTTCTGCTCTGGAATCACAGATATAAGTATCCTAACACTCATTGGCGCTATTTGCTTTTGCAGCGCTTTTGGCAAAATGTTTACCAGCTGTTCTTTTAGAAGGCAGCTTTCCTATTGGTCATTTTAATGTGAGTGTTTAATAAGCATATTAGTACACGTTACTTAATTGTATACGTTCTGCCCATTGATCATTAAACTAAATCAATGTCAACCAAAGTTTTGCAGGAAAATTCAATAACGCATTCAGAAATGTACAAAGCAATAGGTTGTGTAAATTTTGCAGCTACAGAGACCTTGATTTGTAGTAAATACACTGAAACATACTAAATACACCTCTTAACCTCAATACAATGTTTTAGGGGGGGTAATTTTTTGTGCTTTGGCTACTGTAGGAATGTGTTTTTCCAAAGGCAGATTAGGAGGCCATCAGTGGGTGTTATAGTGTTTGAATAATGATTATTAATGAATAAGGGGAAAGGTCACATAGTATTTTTGCAGGGATCTCTCCATATATAAAATGGCCCAAATATTTCTATTGTTTGATAACAAAGCTTACATCATTAATGAAAAAGTTACTCAAATTTCTTTTAACATGAACAAAACCACTAATTAATAATAATTTAAATTATAGTTATCCACAGTATAAACATATATGTATTACTCCTACTAAATAAAATAAAGTTGTTATCTAGCTGTGACCACTAACTAACAATAAAAATGTTTATTTTTGATGCTCCTGTTTGGACGCTGTATTGTGAAAAGTGCTCCCCAAAAATTCTCTGAAGCCTTACCTGGCGCTGGTATAACCATTTCTAGCGGGCTATGTTCTGTACACCAGAAAAACTTAAAAATCAATATATATATATGTGTGTGTGTGTGTGTGTGTGTGTGTGTGTGTGTGTGTGTGTGTGTGTGTGTGTGTGTGTGTGTGTGTGTGTGTGCATAGTATTATGGCCTTTATTTTGTTTTGTTGTATTTCACTACCGTGGTCTTCCATACATAACGCCGTATCCCGCTTTTTTATACTGCCGTAGGCTGCAACACACTTTTTGTCCAATCACCGGCTGCTTATGTCGATGGTCGCACGAATCCACCAATGATATCAACGCCTTTTAGCATGGGCGGGACGTCCGGTGTCTCGTATAAACGAACTAAGGCCTCTCCATGCGGTTTTGATCTTCAGGTTGACGCGAAGCTAACGCCAACAAGGTAAGAATGTCAAATATTGTCTTTTTTCCGCGTCTGCAGGGTTCTAAAAACTCCCAGGCAACCAGAAAGTCACTTATTACTTTATTTCGAGAAAGAAACGGGCCTGATATGAAATAGCGTCTTTCCTAATTTACATTATAGTTCTCACCGTAACCGAGCTAGCTAACCAGCTAGCGTTTTGTAGTCTAACGTTAGTTAGCTTAGCCATCCCAGCAAGTTCTCGTGTATTTGTTGTTATTCGGAGTGCGTAGGGCACATATTTAAATATCATTTTTTATTTTTATTATTTAAGCCGTTGTTGCAATTGCTCGATTTCCAAGAGAAATATATGGTGAAACTCATCCATTATCAAAATAGTTTACGCCGTTTAGCGCGTTAGCTTGCCACGTTAGCAATGCTTATGCAACACCAATAGCTTTCCAGTGTTTTAGCTAACGTTCCCGATGCTAACCGGTTTGGTCAATCCGATGGCGTTGGCTAACGTAAACTCCGAGGTACCGGTTGATCGGGTTTGTACGCGGTATTTGTGCACACGATCACTCTTTGTTTGCATATCAATACATTAATTGTGGACACTATGCGGAGCCTCTCCTTTGCTAAACTAGCTAGCATAGCTCGTTCTACGGCCTCAAGTCTTACAATGGGTTTGCGGGGTGAACACAACAACGTTGGTGTTTGGGGGACGGTTTACAGCAGCACTAGTACCTGTGTTCACACAAACCAACCAAACGGCTAATGGGATGATGCATACAGGCGCACTATTTCACTAAGATCTAACGTTAATTGAGCTCAAACGTGCAGTGGAACCCGGCACAAAGGGTGGCAACAACAGTTGGGCTCATTTAAAAGCGCCCCCCCAGTAAGAGACGAGTAAGTCATGGTAGGAGATTAAGGAGCCAACTAATGACAAACCGTTTGGTTTCTCCTGTTTTTAGATAGACACCATGGCAGAGAATGATGTTGATAACGAGCTGCTCGACTATGAAGAGGATGAGGAGCCCCAAGGAGCCCCGGAGAGTGCAGCACCCGCAGGCAAGAAGGAGGTGAAGGGCTCCTACGTCTCCATCCACAGCTCTGGCTTCAGAGACTTTCTGCTCAAGCCAGAGCTGCTCCGCGCCATCATCGACTGTGGTTTTGAGCATCCGTCTGAAGGTGAGGGACATTTTATCAAAACCTGTTTTTTAAATGCCATAGCTCATACAAAGTTGGATTAGCTAGATTTGATCTCTTAAATGCCAATAATGACGAGACAAGACTAGCAGGGCTGCCTTTTACCTGCACCCTCTGGTCGCGGTTGCTGTGATATGTACTTATATTAAAACAAACATTTTTTCTCCATTTAGTCCAGCATGAATGCATCCCTCAAGCTATTCTGGGCATGGACATCCTGTGCCAGGCCAAGTCTGGTATGGGCAAGACTGCCGTGTTTGTGCTGGCGACACTGCAGCAGATCGAACCTGTCGATGGACAGGTCAGTGCGCATATTCAATACACTAGTTCTCTCAGTGTATGCTTAAGTGAAGGAAGCCTTGACTATGTCCTGTTGCATTGACCACTGCATGTTACAAAGTATCTGAATCTTACGTCGACCTCCACCCTCCCAGGTGTCTGTATTAGTCATGTGCCACACACGAGAGCTGGCCTTCCAGATCAGTAAGGAGTACGAGCGTTTCTCCAAGTACATGTCCTCGGTCAAGGCGGCCGTGTTCTTCGGCGGCATGGCCATCAAGAAGGACGAGGACGTCCTGAAGAAGAATTGCCCTCACATCGTGGTTGGAACCCCGGGCCGCATGCTCGCTCTCATCCGCAACAAGACCCTCTCCCTGAAGAACGTCAAGCACTTTGTCCTGGATGAGTGTGATAAAATGTTGGAGCAGCTAGGTGAGTGCGGGGGAAAAAAAGACACCAACATTACTTATTTTCTACTCACCCCGTTGATTCCACCTCAGGGGATCTGGTTACATCCGATTACACTTTGTATCCGTCTCTATCTTTGTGAATCAGACATGAGGCGTGATGTACAGGACATCTTTAAGATCACACCACACGAGAAGCAGGTCATGATGTTCAGTGCCACTCTGAGCAAGGAGATACGACCAGTCTGCCGCAAATTCATGCAGGATGTAAGTACTGGAGGTTTCTCCGAACGCAAAAGGAAACCCGTGTGTGCGTTAAAGCTGCAGCACATTTGAATTGTGTGCGTTTTGTCCACTTGGTATTGAAACTATGAACTCTTAAGAAGCTTGTCGAACTATCGATCTATATTCTTGCGCTGTGCAGCCCATGGAGGTATTTGTGGACGACGAGACCAAACTGACACTCCACGGCCTGCAACAATACTACTGCAAGCTGAAGGACAGCGAGAAGAACCGCAAGCTCTTTGACCTGCTCGACGTGTTGGAGTTCAACCAGGTAAAGCAGCGGAGCCACTAGCTTTTTGCCTTTTCATTAGAATTAGGGCTAGACATGAGTGGAAATATTATGTAAGAAATCACTTTTATTTATTAGTCATGTACGTCACATCACTAATTTGGGATTACTGAACTGGAACGTTTTGAGAATTTTAAAATCCCCTGCAAGCACCTCTTAAACCACAAACTCACATTTCAACACTTTATACGCCAATCAATAAACAATCCATCGCATTGACATGAGTCCTCAGCAGCCATATTGAAATGCCTCTGCTCTGCCTCTAGGTGGTGATCTTTGTCAAGTCAGTCCAGCGCTGCGTTGCTCTGGCCCAGCTTCTGGTGGAACAGAATTTCCCTGCCATCGCCATCCACAGGGGAATGGCCCAGGAGGAGAGGTGAGACGAGACTTCCACACACACTTTCCCACCATCGTTAATATCTGAATGCAGAGTATGTTTATGGCGCAGTTAAACACTCCATTCTTGGGGAGCTGTGTGGATAACGCCCATTGTTACTCCACAGGCTGTCTCGCTATCAGCAGTTCAAGGACTTCCAAAGGCGGATCCTGGTGGCCACCAACCTCTTCGGTCGAGGGATGGACATCGAGCGGGTCAACATTGTCTTCAACTACGACATGCCGGAAGATTCTGACACCTATTTGCACAGGGTGAGAACTACTTTTAATGTTCGTCCTGTGTGGCGTCCTAGATTGGTTTTAATAAAGTTTGGATAGTGTCACTACGAGGTCTGTTTTATTAGTTGGTCATTGTTTAAGGCTTTAGGTTTTGTTTTTTTAACGTGTTTGGTCTTCTTTGCACCTGCCAGGTTGCCCGTGCCGGTAGGTTTGGCACAAAGGGGTTGGCTATAACCTTTGTGTCGGACGAGACCGACGCCAAGACTCTGAACGACGTGCAGGACCGCTTCGAGGTCAACGTGGCCGAGCTGCCGGACGAGATCGACATCTCCTCTTACAGTAAGCTCTTTCTTTTCCGAATGGCTGTGGGACATGTTCAAACGATTGTATGTGTGTATAAATGGGCTCAGAGCATAGTAGTTAATAGTTTTAATATCTTCCCAGCTAAAAAGTTTGTGCAACAAACGTTTTTACGTCATCTTTGCAACTAGAGCCAGCAGTTGGTGTTGCCATGTAGCCACCGGGCTCTCATTCAAATGTAAAGGGCCCACTCGCACTTAACCAGATGCTGAAAAGTTGGTATGTTCAGCTGTCGCTGTTCGCGTTGCTCTTTTACATTCTCAACCAGTGTCTCTCCTCCTCTGTCCCCGTTTAGTCGAGCAGTCCAGATGAGTCCTCCAGCCGAGCCGAAGGCACTTCATGGATTATGTGTTTGGAAGTAATGTTTCACCATTGATTTGAAAGCTCTGCTCGTTCCTAATGTTCACCAAACCTTTATTTTTATTGTCAGTTTTGGGGTAGTGGGGGGGAGGTTATGGTCAATTTTTAATTTGTCTTTTACAGTTTTTGTTTTTGCTGAATGGAATTAAAACTTTTTATAAAATGCCATTTTTACTGCTGTGGTCTCTACCCCATATTCATTAACTTTAATCTCCAGCAGAGCTGCAGGGAAACATGTAGAAAAGTAGTTCTGAGGAACCTGTGAAAGTGATTTCTATCCATTTTAAATTGTTTAAACTAGTTTGTATAGTATGGTGATCTGTCTTTTTCCCCTACTGAAACGGTCTGTTTTTAAAGTCATGTAGTTAAATACAAGAATTTTTTTTGCTCACATGGCAGCTCTTACTTTGAATTTCCAATTGAATGCCTCCAATAAATGAAGTCACTAAGAATCCTAGTGGTGAGTTTGCAAATTTTGATCCTATTGTCATCCCATCATTGTTTTAATGAGTTAATATTCCACTGATCTGTACGGTTGGCGCCGATTGGAAGCACTCCCATGGTATTGTAACCTAGCAGTTTAAAGTAGCATGCAGCTCAAAACAGTCTTCGTTGAGAATACAATCCCCCAGTCTGAATCAAAGTATCCCATTGGTTAAATGTTCACTGTCCGGGGTAAAATCAAATGCATGACAACCAGTTGCAGTAACATTTGAGGAAGTAATCAACCACTAATTCTTTCAATTTGTTTAATGAGACTTTAGAAAGCATGACTTTATCGCAGATGGTGTTACATGCTACATACAATCATGCTTTAAAATGGGCACTTTTAACGCTCAAAGGATCTGAACCACACTTGTTCAGTGCTAAACTATACATGGACTACAGTTTAACTTAAAGGTTTGGCCCTTACACGACAGGTGGAACTACAAAGAGTAATGATCTGTACATAGCTGCTCCATAGTGTCCTGTAACAAAACTAGGCACACGATACCAAAACCACAGCATCTACAAAGGACAATAGCAATGCTAAAACACTTTACAAACTTGGTTTTAAAAAAGGTAGGCAATGCAAACATTTTCCAGTTACACAGCAAACTGATAAAGCCAATTATGGCAAACAAAAACTGTTGCAATGATAAAAACCATCAAAAGATTTGGAATTACTCATTTAATATGTATTCAGTAAAGAAACTAATCCCTTTGTTGCCTTTCCATGAGGTCAAAGGTCTTGAATCCAGGCTGTGGTAAGGTGTGCCAACTTGAACCTCAGTCCTAGTTGAGTGAGCTGCATGGGTTCTTCAGTCTAAAAGGACAGAAAAACGAATAATACATGATTTCCCTTCCTCTGAAATGTCCATTGGAACGGGTCTCTTGACGTTGGATAGCCGTGGCCACGTAAAGCTCTTCTGACAGTTGACGCGTTCCTCAAAATAGCCACTATAAACACGAAGAGCACTTTAGTCATCGTTAAGTTACTGAGCTGCTTGATTAAAGGCCCTGACACAAATTACCTCCTGGCACGCCATTTTCATAATGTCTTTTACAGCGAAACCAAAGCGCGGCCGATGTTCCCTCGCATGTCGCCGTCCACAATCAGGATTGTAATTTGGCAGAAATCCCCGGCTTGTTCTGCTAAATGTCTCGCTTTCTGGCGGCGGCGTGGCGAGTCCAGCTGGGTAAACGACCTCCATCACCATATTCCCCCCTAATGCGGACAGTGACTCGATCCATCAGGTTCGACGCGGTCTTCTCAGAGTACACACCTTCTTCCCTACGGCGGCCTTCATCGTGGATCCTAACAAACAGCTTTCTGACCGCTGTGACCTCCGCTGTGACCCTTGAGCCACGGATCTGTGCTGACAGCGCTCAGCTGTTTTGTCCCTCTCCTGGACACCATCCACGCTCCCAACATAGCAGCTTGGCTCGTCCGTCTTAACAATAAATACCAGTAAATAAATACCATAAAAAGACACACGCTGCGCTCCGGGAGACACATCAGAGACGCTCCTGCACTTTTGTCCGGCCCAGTTTCCCCCCGTCAGGTCTTCTCCCGGAGCCTTCCTTTGGTTTGGCAATACTGCGTTGTTGGGAGTGCAGTCCCCGACAAAAAGTCTCAGTTCAGGGGACATTTCTGGTGCACGGCAGCAACATGGCGGCTGGTTTGGTTTAGGACTGGTTTGTGTCCACGTTTGGCATGAAGTCTCTAGTCAGTCTGGCCAGAAACGACTCTTTATCTACACTAAAGCCACAATTCCTCCTCCCCGAAATAACGTCAAAGAAAAGAGGATTCGACTTGTTCACCTCGCTTGCGTCTACTTATAGATACACTATGGACAGCTATTCTATACTGGGGGCCACTACGGGGGGGGGGGGTTGATTGTCTTTTGGTGAGGGAATGTCGGTCAGGCTGGGAGGTTGCGGCGCCGCCGCTAGTCGATGAACTTGTGCGTGTCTCCGTAGAGCCACTGCTGAGGGGGCATGGCGGCCTCGTTGAGGTGGTTGCACTCGTCGCTGCACTTGCAGGACTGGATGAACATCACCGACCGGCTGAAGCGCTCGCCGTCGGGGCAGGCGAAGGCCACGCCGGCGGTGCGCGTGCGCCGCGGCGAGCAGCAGCGGCCGTCCCTGCACACGCCGCAGTAGTTGGGCCTGTAGAGGCGGGTGCTCCTGCAACCTGCGTAGGACAGGCGGTGAGGTTCGGGGGCCTTGTGGGTGCGGGAGCACTTCCGTCCTTTCTGCGGAGGGAGAACAGAGGTCGGGTTTTACGTTTTTAAGTCATAGCAAAATGAAATGACTCATCAACTCGAGCCCGTATGTGAAAAACAAAGCTAACGACAGAGGCGGGGGAAGAACAGAACAAAGCGCCGTAGAGAGGAACATTCCGGCAATAGTTAAGGATCGACTGCTGACGCACATTAACACCCACAACAGCTCTGCAAACATTGGGAGGAACAGGTGCGTAACAACCCATCGGCCTCACTGCTGGCAACCCCGGGAACCAGAGTGGGCGAATTGAGGGCTCTTCAAAAAAAAAAATCACATAGCAAAGAGCCGGCGAGAGCAGCCGACAGCCGCTGTGTCGCAGAGGTCCAGATATCTTTGCGGCTAAAGGAATCTCTCGTCTGGACGACTCAAAGCAGTCGCCGGGAAACTCAGAAGTCACGGCCACCTGGCCAAGAAAACGTCATTTTTACACTTTAGGTTTAAAACAGACAAGTTTTACCTTTTAAAAAAGGTGATAGTACTCAGATTTGTTAACCGGGCAAGTGGTTTCCTGCCGTTTGCATCCACTGTGCTAAGCTAAGCTAACCCCCATAACACTTAACTACTCTTCATCCTAACTATTTTTATTTGAGCGTGGTATCAATCTTTATATCCAACTGAGCGCCAGAAAGAGAAGACGAGTATTTCCCAAAATGTGTAACTAATCGTCTGAGCAGTGGGCCGAACGTGAACCGCGCAGAGGCATCGGGGGCCTTAAATCGGGCTCCGTTGTGACCCTGCGGAGAAAGTTTCCCCACACAGCAACAGAACCGTGAATAGAACCAATGGACCAGACAGCGCAACAGAGGGGTGATCCAGGGTTCGGGGTCTGCAAACATCCATGGGTATTAATACCAATCTGACACCTAAAGAGTGATCCTTTCCTGGATCAGTTCAGCATGATTCACACCACCCCTCCCTTCGCCGGAATCTTAACGTTCCTCACCTTGACGGGGATGGACATGGAGCTGCAGGGCCGAACGTTGCACAGACGCGTCTCTTTGATCAGCTTACAACGGGCGTTGTCATTGGTTACACGAGAGGACACGCCCATCCCACAGCTCCGAGAACACTGGGACCAGGAAGTAGTCTGAACCACGCACTGATCTCCCACCTTTCTCCAGACTACGAGAGAGGAAAAACGTGTGAGGACACGATGGTGCGAAACCATGGCGATTTGGGGAAAGAGGAGCGGGAGCGGCGAAAGTGAAGCCAATGTGTGGGGTGGGGGAGAGAGCGAGAGAGGGGGGGAAAGGAGAAGTCCGGAGATGCGAAGCACACTGGCCTCATTCACTGACCAGGCAACACTGACGCATAGAGAGGGCGATACAGAGAGGGGAAAGCTGGGTGACAGAGGTATGTGCTGTGAGAGAGCACCTCTGGTGTGCAAGGAGCCAGTGGAAAACCAGCCTCACATAAATGCTGACACACACACACACACACACACACACACACACACACACACACACACACACACACACACACACACACACACACACACACACACACACACACACACACACACACACACACACACACACAGAGGAAAAGGCTCACAGTGAGGCCGTTTGTGCGTCAACGGGACTAAAACTGCCAAAAACGTAAACAAGATGCTTTACTGCGCGCAGGAAACAGAAGGCGCTCTGAGGCGACGCGGCGGCTCTTACCCGCCAGGTGCTTGTTTCCGCGCGGCTTATCCCGCTTGCGGCCAGCCTCCACCAGCTCGTTGCCCAGGACGTCCTTCTCCCTTTTGGGTTTGTAGGGGTACAGCTTCCCGTAGTGTTTGGGGTACGGCTTGGGGAAGGGGAAGGCCCGGTATGGAATGAAGGGGTAAGGCAGGTAGGCCGGTGGCTGGGGCCGGCGGTGCACCGGGGTCACGGCGGTGGCGCCCCTGTAGCAGTCGATCGTGAGGCAGCACTGCCCCGGCACCTTGACTAGATGTGGCGCGGGACAGGAGGGCGACGCCAGGGGCACGTGGCTGGGGCAGAGCGGCACGCAGCCCACCGCTCCATCGATGCAGGTGCACTGGTGCTTGCAGCCGGCGTTGAAATTCTCGCCGTTTTGATGAATCCGCCCGTTGTATTCGCACGAGCGGCCCTCCGCCTTTGCTGAGGGGAAAGCAAGAAGACGGGAAGCTTGGTCAAAAAGCATGACCGCCAGATATCAAGCGTCATGTAAGCGGCTAAATGAGATCAAACAGGAAGTGGAACAGAACAGAGAGGGAGGGAGGGACACACCAGCTCCAGATTCATGAAGCAAGCTCTATTCTTAGATCTGAAAGGAATTTTGACTTGTTTACAACGTCCAACCCCGTTGCCCTCATAAGTGCGACGCCCCCCAGATACCTCCCCTTTATATAGAAGCCCCCCCCCCCCGAATAAAACACACATTAAGAAGTACCGCAGTTTGTGTACACACTGAACGACCGGTGTTGGCCGGGTTTCAGTCGCAGGAAGGATGCCCGGGTCCTTTGAAACGTGGCACGAGTCTCCGAACCCCAAAGCCCCCATCAAAGAGAAGCCTGGAAGCCAGCATCCCCACCCTGTGCCCAACCCCCAAGCTAAACCCCAAAGCCCCCCCACACCACCCTATGTGCTAACCCAGGGGTGCCGAACTTGTCTTGCCTCAGACCAGTATCATGTTAGAAAAAACAACAACAGAGGGGTGTCGCTTTGCGACGCCTGGGTCAAAATGGAGATGCTCATGTAATTGGGCAAGGATTTTTCAAAATAAAATACTTTTCAGAAGAAAAAAAAGAAAAGAAGTGTTTTTCTTTCTCTGTGCGAACCCACCCCTGCAGATGCCATGGGTGTGGCCCACGTCGTTGCCGTAGTTGCACTCCAGGCCTCGGTGGTGGTCGCAGGGCCGTCCCTCGTGACAATCCTGGTTGAGCTGAGCGGCGCACACCTTGCAGCAGCCGCAGCCGTCCAGTACCGAGCTGACCCCCGGGGGGCAGGATGCAGGCCCTGCAGGACACTCGCACACCACCGGGCAGCCGGCAGTCACCTGCAGGAGGGGTACACACGGCGAGCACTTTAGTCACCATCAAGGTTTTTCCGTGTGAGGAAGCACTGGGACCGAGCGGGACAATAGTTTGACTCATGTTACGCATGTCACATCACAGAAAGTCCTCATAGTGGGCGAGGGATAAACATCTGCTGAATACCCAGCAGTGTCGCGAGTGGATATCTGTGACCCTTCCGCTTGGCATTCACACACACACACACACACAGACAGAGTCTGGATGTCTCCCGGTGTGCTGCAGCTATGTGCGTGAAGAGGATATGACATTACGCGTTGCGGCGGCATTTTTAAGCGTTACATTGATGGCATCAAGCTGGTGCTCAAAACATCCCCCACTAAAGGTCCTGCAACACTTTAAGTGTGCAGCAAGTTCACATCAGCCTTCAATGCATTTTCATCTGCATTCGTATCAACAAACAACCATTTATAAAAGAGTGAATTGGTGATTTTTTTGGATGGGTGAGGGGGGGCTAAATAAACCCATTGAAAAATAAACAACATTTCATGAGTTTATTTAGGTTGAAGGGAGGGTCTAAACTGTGGATACGGAGGTGGAAACAGACAGAGAAGCTGACCTGTACTCTTTACTCCTCTGATTTAATCTGACAGCTGGCAACTTTACAGATTAGCGGGATTAATTACAAAATGTGTGATTCTCCTTTAGCCCCTAAAGCAAAACTCAAGAATAAAACTACCCAACATCACATTAACACATCAGTAGCAAAAAAATCCGATAATACAATAAAGCACTCACTTTTTATTCATTAAGAGCAGTAAATTCAGCTGGAACTATTTTTACACTTTTTCTCGATTGACATTGTTAGGTGCTGGACTGTCCCCCCGAGACATCCCTCCAGGACCTCTGGTGTTCCCCGAACCCACCGTTTGAAAGCCACCACATATCACCACTCATTCTGCAAAAGGATTACAGTCAGACATGTAGACGTGGAAGGGGAAATAAAAGTGCATCGCAGGTCAATTATCGCTTGTGTCTCACGCGCGGGATCAGACCGCTGGCACGTGCGTCTTTATTCCTCAGTGTTTACATGAAGAAGAAAAAAAGGCAACAGACAACAAACTTCTTACCAAGCCGAACGTCGCCAGTTGAAAGACGGCGAGCAATATCAGTATCCCCATGCTGTCAGCGGATTCCCATAGAAGAAAAGCAAATAGACAAAAAACAAACAAAAAAAAGAGATCACAGAAAAATAAATCCTTCACCGGCTCAGAAACAATAGTTGTTGTCCACAGAGATTAAATCCGACACGCACGACAGTCCTTGAATCTCTCACATCACTTGTGTGTTTTCATCATCAAAGTTGGAGGCTCGTGTTTTATATCAGCCTCGTGCTCTTTATGGCGGCCCCGCCCACCGCGGACCTTCCTTCAGCCAATTGGGAAGCAGACGCGCAGACAAGGTGTCCCGGCGGGGAGGGGAGAAGGGGGGCGGGGCTTGGAGCTCCAGCGAGGGAGAGCCGAGAGGTAACGTAAGCGAGGGAGGCGTGGCCAAGCATGAATGTGGTCATTCATAAAAAATCAGAATTACTACATTCTAAAGAGGACTTGGCTTCTGCGAGTTTATTTATTTATGTTTGAGGGAAAATAATATTTTCGGTGCTTTAAAGTCCGTTTCACACGCATACCTCTGTCCCGGCTGCTGCTTTGTGAAAAGCAAAATAAATATACTCAGCTGCTAGTCTGCGCTACATTAATGCTCTGAGCCCGCCATGGAAAACAGCAAGGAATTTCCTTCCCTCCGTTTTATAAAAATACTTTTAGACCAGAGCTGGACAGATAAAGTGCCCAAGGCGAGCCGCGTGTACCTTGGATCACGTTATGACTGAATGTTTGACTTCATGTTGATGTTGAAATTGGTTTTGATAATCTCCAAGGCAATTGGTCGTTCTCTCATCCTCCCTCCATATCCTGTTTTTAGTCCCCACATCCCTTTTACCTCCTCAAAGTTCCCAGGCCACCTCGCTCTGCACACAAACACACACACACTCAAGAACAAACAGCCACCCATGTAAACAGACATGAATTAAGTTTTCTCATTGAAGTGTGCAGAGCGGAGGTGAGCACCGCCTGGATAATCTTCCCATCATCCCCGCAGACACGTACACAGGAAATGAGCCATCTGCACTACCTGAGATGGTGGCTGACGCACACGCTGATGCTTTGTGTGAGAGGGTTGAACACGTATTCCACATCTACCCACTTAAAACCTTACATTAAGGTACGGGGGCTCACGCAGTTGTCAGCCTGTAGAGGTTCAGCGAGAGGGATTATGGGTGGTTAAATTGCTGTTTTCTCATTGCAGTTTCTCTAAAATGTATCATTAAGCTGAGGGACGCCTGCTGTTATTTGTGCCAACAGGGAAAATGTTGTCCCCCTTCATCCTCTGTAAGTCGCCCCCTGCACCAAACGCTCACATGAAGATGTTCCAGTCGGCCTGAGCTGCAAAGTAATGCACGTACACCTCTGGCAAGCGAATACTCACATTTACATTTCAGCACACTCCAAAGGCAATTGATGCACCCATGAAAAGCCCACATGCACATGGCTCCTTTCTGTGGCGCTAAGGCATGCGATTGAAGCATCTCATCTTTTTTGTAAAATAAATACCCAGCAACGCTTGAAAATCCCAGACAGTCGCTTGAAAAAACGCTCACCGCTGTTCGCCGGAGATATTTTCAGAAGCTTCTAACCGCCTGGGTCCGTTGCACAATAACAAGTCAATTTTCAGCAAACTTTTCCAGTTGCAGTTTCCAGTATTTTGATTACATCACATTCAATTATATTATATTAAATTAAAAAGTGAAATGTCTATATTTTTAATTGCTGACATCAGCATGGCTCCACGTTCACAATAACAACAAACATCCTGATGTTTACAGTGTTCACCATCTCAGTGTAACGCGTTGGCATGCCCGGCTGAAGCGGAAGGTCATTCACTTCAATTCAAGTTCATATCAAAATAATTATCATTACAGCCAAAGCTGTGAAGTGCTGTCGATAAAGGGTCATCAAAGTATATATCTTCAGAAGCACGTATCGTCTGGGGACCATGAACTCCCCGACCACCCTTCACAGTAATTGTTGTAAACAAGATGTCCTGATAAAGATGATCAACTCATGTAGCTTCGCCTTACTGCGCAAATATTTTGTGTACAGAATGCCCTAACACTCACGCAGAGACCCACACAGGGAGCAAAATGAAATATTCACCAAACCGTCCACTCAAAGCGCTTCTGTCTGTCAGCCTGCGGAGGTGATGTAACAGGTGCGCGTAAACAAGCCCACAGCACACAGAGCCAGAACGAGCAAGGAATTAAAAGAAAGAAGAAGAAAAAAACATCCCGACCTTCTCTGAAGGCCGTGTGCGTTTGTGTGTCTCACAACACACACACACACACACGGAGAGAGAAGTGTGTTTTTTATTCATCTTTAAGTTCCATTGACTCATCAAACAGCGTGTCCTTTTCCACTCGGGTCTCGGTGGCTTCCCCCGTAGACATAATAAACAAACATGCAGAGTTTTTTCCACACACACCAGAGTGGAGGCTTTCATTAGCTCTCGGGGATACTGGACACTCGGGGGGTTTCCCCCCCGCGCCGTGACCTTTAAGCCCCGAGCGCCGGGAAAAGGGAGATGCTTTGAGCGCCTGAAACCTCCTGTGAACGAGTTATGAGAAGAGGTGGGGCCGATACAAAAGAAGTCTTTGGAAGTACATGACTGGGGGGGGGGGAAACCAGGGAAACATTAGGCAGCGAGAGGAAGGGAAGAGGAAGTAGGGGGGGGGTCAGCGGAACAAAAGCGGCTCACTTTTCACATCTGAGTCTTTTCATAAGCGCACAGAGAAGTGGCTTTGTGTGTCCGTCAGGACAGGTGTGGAGTTTTTGTTTCGGCGGAGCTCCTTGACACGCCTGCGACACTCCTCCACCTCTTCATCTTCGGCGGGGTGCAAAACATGCACGTGTTTGTGAATATGTACCTCGGACACAAACAAACAACGTTGCTGTGTCATGGCAGCGTAACAGGCCGAAGCTTCCTCCCCCGCTGGAAATCTCACCCGGGACTCCTTCAATGGAATGGGACAGGTGTCTTTGTTGTCACCTTGTGGGAGGGGAGGGGGGGGGGCACACAAGAGGGGAAGGTTGCTGTAATTTAAAGAGGGTGGTTTAGTCTTTTATTGTTTTCTCGCCCCACATTTAAACTCCATGTGTGTCCTGTATGTCAATGGTTGGGGTGAAGCACAATGTCCACACATACATTCATTTCTCTCTCTGCAGTAACTATTAGACATCTGTTTACACATATTTCACATCAGGCTTCCTTTGCAATAGAATACGGTGACAGTGTGCTGAGGACAGAAACACGCTTCAGACATCTTGGAAAACGTCACACGAGTATTTTCCAATGATTTGCCTTTCAAACCTTTTTTAGGGCGGAACGAGTAGCTTTTGCCTGCTGACATTCCCATCAGTCTCGCTACCGAACATGCTGGAGTACCGTTTGTTCTTTTTCCGCTATTGAAGTAATACAGGTCAAGGCCGAAGGTAATACATTTCTGATGTGAAAGGTCAAGGTCACTGTGACCCCAAGTACGTCCCATTCTCGTGATACCTCTTGACATGAGAAGAATTGAACTCAGGGTTAACCTGATTTTGTGGGTCAAACAGAGGTACCAAAAAAACATTGTTGGACATAAGCCATTTTACACAAAAACGATGACGTGATGTCCCCTGAGACAGTAATGGATGTAAAGTTCTATAAATGTCTCATGGTTATCAAGAAAAAGACCATAAAACAGGTTTTTAAAGAGGAGACAAAGTGAAGTTCAGTGGTTATTTTCCACATGTTTGTGGCATAGAGAGATATAAGGCAAAAGAGAGGCCCCAGTCAGGACAACCAGGAAATAAAAACAAGGGAGAGTGGCAGTAAGAAAGGATGAGAGGGGGGGGGGATTTCAGTCACAAAGTCATATTTAAACCAAGAACAGGAACTTCACTGTTGACTTCCAAAACACTGAAACACGGCTCGGTTTAAGAGGAGAGCAGGACGGGGGGGCAGGAAGCGTATAAACACACGTAGCTGTCAGGTGTACAAGTGTCCAAACCCATTGCTGTCAGTCTTTGCTCTCAAACTCACACTCTAATCAGGACGTGGCTGCGTACTGTCAAGTGACAACATCAAACCTACAAAGACAGGCATTCATGTGAATTTCTATTTTTGCAGTTCTTGTTTTTCTCCAGTATTTATGTATATAAATACAGCATATATATTGCATTTGACCTAATGACGTTAAAACAGTTCATAAGGGTGTGCATAAGGGACGCAAACCTCAGGACATGTCAATTACAGTCCAGTGGTACGCTCGACAGAGAGGCGTCACAACGTTTTAAAAAAGGATGACAGGGAAAAGGACACGTGAGGAGACTCCGAAAATCACTGCGGATACAGTTTGACATGAATTGAGATAAATACAAGCTGCTCAACTGTCATTTTCCAACCGGCTCACGAAACAGGCTTTAAGCGGTGCGCTTTTCCACCGCCGGGATGACATTATCAATTGAATACGTCTGGGGGTTTTCCGGGGGCAGTTCTAAATATGAAAAAAAAAATGGCTGTTGTGAAATAAACAGCGATCGGGTGCAGCGCTTACGACATCTGTTAGGACAGGCAGTGTGACCTTTACCCCGGGGTCGGGGCTCTCTGCTTGCCTTAGCACGCACGCCGGGCCCTGATGGGGTCAAAGGAAACTGGGTCACCTGTACCTGTTTGTCAGTGGATACGCTGATGCTGCCCCCCCCCCACCAACTACCCAAGGCCAGGTCACACCCACCCCTTTGGTCCCCTCAACCCCCCCAGCTCTCGTCTCTGCCTTCCCCTCACCTCCGAGGTGTCACAGAGAGCGCCCTTGTTCTCGCCGTCTTCTCCTTTCCACCCGGACCCCCTCAAAAATCCCAGATATCCCTGCAATTTCCGGTGCAATGTTTATTTGGCGGAAAGTGGGCCGGGGAGGGGGGGGGGGCGGGTAGGGGGGGCGGGCAGGCCTTGAAAAAAGACTCTCACTCACAAACAGTTTGGGCAACGTTTGAAGGGTAAACACAAGCAGGAGGGGTACGTGAGGGCGAGCGGTAAGCAGCACTGAGGCCGGTGTGTTCTGGTCCCGACACACAGATGCCACCTCAGCAGGGACACAGAGCATCGCTGTGTTCGGCCCCAACGACCACAGTCTAGTAAACATCCCCCCACCACCGCCCGGCTGTTGCAGGCACAGCGCCCTCCGATGGACAGATGAGATGGTGACACAAGTAGAACAACGTAAAAGAAGCACGGCGGCTCCAAACTAACAATATCGTCAGCCTTTTCACAATTAAATTTGTCTAAATTTAGGCTAACTAGCCAAAAAACTGAATTGGGTTGGCTATTTATTAGCATAGCTATTTGAAATGTGTATCAACGTTAGAACTGAATAATTTGTTAGCCCAGATAGATCTTCAAGGTCTGGCCTGTGTCCAATGCGTTTAGCTACTTGCGTATCCATTCTTATCAGCTGGGTGTAGCCGCTACGTTTAGCGACATATTTCAAACATTTATCCAATGCATTTAGCTAATTGATTAGACGTCTCTACTCAGTTAGGTTATGTCTTTGCAAACAAGTTGTCGAAACCCTCCCAATTACAATTGACGCAATAAGTAGTTTTAAATAGAACTCATTATAATTTTCTTTAAAATGTGTCTTGATCTTTCCATGTAGCCTCGGCTACGCTAGTAACCCGGGCTGGCAACCCGGCACACAGTTTAATGCAAATTGTTTGGATTATTTTTATTTAATAAGGATAATTTTAAGTTTCTAACTTTAAAATATCGGTATTGAGGATAATAAAAATAAAAACATGATCATGAGGAGGACACAACTTTACAAAATCTGAACATCTTTATAGAACAAACGCAGACGCAGTTGTTCACGTTATTGTAACCACCTTGATTAATTCATATTAAAAATGTGTAAGTGAACAATTTGGGGAGTCTGTGGCCTCCCCGCTCTGACGACCGACAGCATCTCTCCCCCCTCGATGAGCGGACTGAAACCCCACTGCAGCTCACTGCCTCTGGAGACAGATAGCCGCTGGTCGTTTGGAGCAATATTGACATATTTGCAAATACTTTTATTTGCGTTTGCGAGGAATGAACTTTCCCTCATGTGTGTGCTATTAATTAACCTATAGATTGGAGGTGAATATATTAGCTTAAGTTACAGCAAAGCTTTTGTAAAGAAAGAGTTGCAGCATGTAACTTCCTATAAAGCCCCATGTGCATTAATTACACAATTAAGATTATCTTATATAAAGCTACTTGTTAGCGCAGGGTAAAACAACGGAAAACGGCTGGTTCTCTCTTGTCTTCCACCCATCATCGCTTTTACAGCTCCCTGATTCCTTTTTCAAATCTTGTTTCTTGTTTCTGAAATGTGAATTTTTAAATGCAAGTTTCAGGTATAAACATAAATGGTTAAACTTAGGTGCATGAAGACATGTACGTTTATGTATATGTGGAAATGATCGAAATCAAAATAGAACACAATGTGGAAAGTATAACATACTTCATCACTGTGCTTACATAGTTTTTAAGTAAATGTGCGTGGTTATTTTTTTCACACAAAATGAGTATTTCCCCCTATTGCACCGCCGTGTGCTTCCTCGTGTGGCCGCGTGGGGGCGCTGGTCGCGGTACTGCGGTCTGAAGAAGCGATAAAAGGCTGCCTGCTCCCCCCTCCCCTTTTTATTCTACTCGCGCGCCGCTCCAAACCGGAAGTACTTCAGTGTTCAGCCAAGGCCAAGATCACCGCTAGCTGAGCAGCAAGGTAAACGCACCTTAATCAACTGTTAGCGCCGCGCGGGGCATCGTGGCGTCGAGTGGCGGAACAGTCCGGTGTGCGCGTGTGTTTCTCTCACGCAACGCGGGGAGGCGAAGGAGGGTGAGGGAGGGGGAGAGAGAGGGAGGGAGGAAGGACCAGGAGGGCAAAGTCACAACTACGTAACGTAGGTTGGAGCCACCGAGCCGCCGCTAGCTGCGCATCTACGACCCCGCGAACCCCGCGAGGCTCGTCTCTTTACCCCGTTACTCCCCAGAAAGAACACGTGAGCGGTTTGGTTTTGGTTTTTTTTACTGCTTAACTGTTTCTACATTGTAGTGTGTCGCCACGCCGCGGAGCTGAAGGCAGAGACGAGCTGTTAAGATAATTAAACGATCACATCTAATGGGCTCGCGCTTAAATGGCCTCGAGTCAAAGACGTGTCTTAAAACGGGACATGTCCCACAACTAGAGCTCCACAGCCCATGAAGCTCTTCAGTGAGTGATCAGGCTATAAACTAACCCTCAGAATGCTTTGTCTTTTAATGACGACACACTGAGTGTATCTCTGTTGGGCCGTTCAAAACAACCGGTTTCAATACTTTATTAAAGTTTTTACTTTCGAAAGACCAAACCGTTCAGAAATTATCTGTTTAAGGAAAGAATTAGCAGATCAATCAATGTTCTTTTTTCTTCTCTCCACCAGTCTAATTCCCAAAAACCTCGTTATATTCACACTGACAGGAAGCAGTGACATCCCACACAACTACTCTCTACTCTCTCATGGAACCAGTACATTTCTACCTGTTTTGCTTAATGTATGCTCAATTATTACATGTTTGCAGTGTGGATGATGTTACTATTATCTCGTGCTTGTGGCTTCACACAGGCTCACATGGGCAAACAAGTCCCCATAAAAACCTTCAAGACCGGACAAGTAGCGTATATACATTTTCAATAAAAGAAAGTTGTGTTTTCTATGATTTATATGAACATTTCAATCTTTTTAGCTTAAATATACCTTTAAGCTTTGTGTGTCAAAGGAGACAAAGTGAAGTTCAATGTGAAATCCTGAAATTCCGTCATTCTCCTTTTGCCGTGTGGTTCTCGCGTGTCTCTCAGATGGCTCACAGGCTGCTACTGCGCAGAATTTGGACGCTCTCTGCGAAAGACGTCCGCAGCCTCCCAGCGTCCACCGCCGCCGCAACCTCCTCTTTCTCCACCTCTTCGCTGCAGTGCACCGCAACCAGAGCGTCCTTCCTCTCGCCCCGCTCCCTCCCTCGCTCCCCCCGCCGGAAGGTCTCCTTCAACGTCCAGGACCACGAGGACTTCACCGAACGGGTGATCAACAGCGAGCTGCCGGTGCTCGTCGACTTCCATGCGCAGTGAGTAGCTGCTAAGCGAAGGTGCACATGCTGGACGAGTGATTAAATTTTAATCTGGGATTGGAATTTTCTGGAATTTTTCTTTTTATTGAGTTCTTGAAAACCTATTAAAAAGGCACTGACCTCGGAAGGAGCATGTTTTACAGCTGCCCTGCCTCTTTAGATGACTACCCGTGTTACATACGTACCAGGCGTGTTAAAAATAACACACTCATACGTAACTGACCCGGGTGTGTTCCACTCTAAGGGGCGGAGCGTGTCGGATGTATTAATGGCCGACAGTTACAATGTGAGTTAACAAACCGGTTCTGCTCTTCCTCTTCCAGCTTATTCAGTTCACATAAAAAGCTCTTACCTGAAGTTAATTATTCAGTTCCTGAAAATGTAATTTCCCCTTCTGAGAAGTAGTAAGACAGGTCCCAGCATAAAGCTCATCACTTAAACCGTTTTATATCTGCGTTACAACGCTCTTTAATTTCTCAAAGAAGTGAATTTGACAACCTCATAGGATGGGCGTGGCTGGCGCGTGCTTCTGCGTCATTGCGTCGACGCACTCGTTTCAATTCATGGTTCTAAAAGTCTTGCGTGTGTTGGAGAGCAATTCACCGCCAGAACAACAGGCGGAGTGATGTGTTTTGTTGAAGACGACCTAGAGTCACGTCTATTTGTTTATTTATTTATTTATTTATCATAGACTTTATTGCCCCGTGCATCGACACTGCTGCTTTTCATTGTGGACACATTTGTCCCGTATTGTCCTCCACAACTTTGTTTCTCTCGACCGGCAAACCGGCGTTTGCGGCGATCTCCCTCCGTGAATCCAACCCGCTTATACAAGCCGTCATTGGCGGGTTGTATAAGCGGGTTGGATTCACGGAGGGAGATCGCCGGTTTGCCGGTCATATTTATGCATTTCTTCCGACAAAAGTTCTTCAATCCGATCGGTTCTCTCGTAAACATTCTTCGTTTTAATAATGGCGGTATCGGGCTATGAAAGCGGAAATGTGAGACTCCGTAAAGGACGTAGTTAGCGGACGTAGTCGCTTTCGACGCAAGCCTAGAAAAATGGCTCGACACACGCAAGGAGGTGTGAAAAGGCACGCAAGGGACACGCAAGGGGGGCTTGCGTCTGCATCGCTCTGAAAACGCAGAAGCATAAACTAGGCTTTACGCCTGCGTTTGAGAGGAAGGCGATTTCCCACGATGCACGGTGTCGCCGCTGGGCCACTCTGGTACATACTTGGTCTTTTACGTTTTTTTTTAAACATTTTTTAGGTGGTGTGGTCCCTGTAAGATCCTTGGGCCGAGGTTGGAGAAGGCCGTTGCGAAACAGAAAGGCCGCGTTGCCATGGCGAAGGTCGACATCGATGACCACACAGACCTGGCCATCGAGTACGGGGTGAGACTTGATGCAGCTTTGTAGATTCATGACATTTGATTTTTGTAGTGCATCCTTTTTCTTTTTTGTGTTGAATTAGTGGTGTCATTGCAATGACCGTACAGTTTAATTTAAAAGCGGAGTTCTGTGTTCCAGGTACATGTCATTAAATTCCACGTAAGAAAAGTGACATCACCTTCATGCGCATTTCAATCTCACATATCCAAAATAACACTTGTGATGGAATAAGAAAAATCCCAGATATCTATAGCCTAGTTGTTGCGCGTCACGATTTCAACTTCAGGTAGCGGAAATTAAAAATTATTAGAGATATCCATAATATAATTTCAACCATCGGGTTTCTGGTCATGTTCCGATTCCGTGTCGACCAGTCGTGACATTATTGGTGTTCTAACGCATGACTCTGACCGCTCCCAGGTGTCTGCCGTCCCCACCGTGATCGCCATTCGTGGAGGCGACGTGGTCGACCACTTTGTGGGGATCAAAGACGACGACGAGCTGGACTCATTTGTCGGCAAGGTCATCGGATAGCAACCAAGCTCGTTGGCAACCCTGCCGCTCATCGCCATCACGTCGCAGTTGTGTGTGTGTGTGATCCCGGCCGCCATCATCAAAAAAACCTTACCGCCGCCCACGGTGGCAAACGCTCAGAGCGCTCACACCCATCCCTAGACGAACCGCGTCTGCATCGTTTCTTCAGTCTTTTTTTTTTTTTTGTGTCCAGAGATGGGTGTGTGCTTTCATTTTTGTGTTCTAGCGTTTTCCATTTCCCTTCAATAATGTGACCGCTCCACGAGAGCAGCCGGGCTCTCTATGCGTACACACACGTCTGCAGAGTGGAAACTACGCCACTGCACATATACTGTATGATGAACTTCTTTTTAACTTTAGCGGGTGGAGAGGATTCTTCTTAAAAGCTGACATTACTGAATGAGGCTAGCGACAGTGTTACCCTGCAGTTCCCACTTTTATCCACACGGTGGCGGCGTTTATCTTCACATCGCAAAAGCCACACACGGGTCGTTTTACACCATCCTGCCTGATGTGGGAGAGGAAGCTGCGCGCGTGTGAGTCTGACGCGTGTCATGTGGGAATTGGGGAAATACGAGTTTGATTTAGTTTATTACTCCAATGAACTATATGTACCGGAATTGTGACCAAGTGAATTAATAAAGTTTCAGAAGATGTTCTGTTTTGTTTTTTTTGAGTTTTTGACTTAACCTGGTGGTCAAGACATTTCTTCCAAATGATACTAATGGGATGTAAGTTATGTATAACTTTTTCCCACAAAATAAATGGAGAAATAACAGTGAACCCTTTATTTTCAGTGTGATTTGAGTCCTCTGCGGCTTTGTCCAGGGTTTGTGGGTTTTCACTAGAACTTTGTCAACAGTGGAAGAGTAGACATCAAAAGTGATTTCCCAACCAGGAAGTACTGCTACGCACGGATACCCATGAGGCCTTGCGCGCGTGGAGGCGAGAAGGATTACAGGCCTTTTTATTTCCGCGTTATTGCCTGCTGGAAACACCCGAGAGCAATGAGGTCGCCCGCGACTGGAAAGCACCTGCACCCCCCCCCTCTACCCCCCCCCGACACGTCCTGCTGACGGAGTGAAGCGGACGTATTGTAACCTCATTAGCTCAGCCCTCGCTATGTGTTCTTAAATCACAGAACGCGTTGTGTCCCGGATGAAAAGCATTCCTGCGTGGTTTGTTTTGGACGTCTGGAGTGACGTAATGGCACCTTTTCTCTTTTTGCGTTGACTCATCCTCGGGTCAGAGGGGGGAGAGGGGGGGAGGTCTCGGGAGTGTTTCTAAGCCCTTGTTTTGTTCCTCCTGTCTGTTCTATCACGTGAATGCGATCTGCATGAAGCAGGGCCGCTGCCTGTAAGACCTTACAAACAAATAACCAGCTCCAAAGGTTGGAAAACTGCACGTAACCCTACACCTCCTGCACAAGAAAACACAGGCCACACCTCCCGTCTCTCCCTCTTTCTCTCCCTCTCCCACTCTTGTGACCATATAAGGCAAAAAAAGACACGCTCAAACAAACGGGCCGGGAAGCGGAGTTGCAGGTTCCTTCTATTGACTGTCCCGCCTGAAACAATTTCTGTGTGTCCGTTTGAAATGACCTCACCGATCTAAATGTTTTAACTGCGTGTGTGTGTGTGTGTGTGAGAGGTAGAGGAAGAGACTGCACCACCCAGATCTGGCCCTCCAGCGTTCTTTGTTTATAGTGAATTCAGAGCTGTATTTATATTATAAACACGTTTTACACTCCACCTTTTGTTTGCTGTCTATTCTGCTCAGTGCAAAACACCAACCAAAGACAGACAGCTTGCAAAAGCATATAGAGAGCAGTGGCGATGCTGTCAAAACGGCCCGGCTTGTAAGTTAGCCGTTAGTTCTGAGTGCTTGTTTTTCTTTTTGTAGCGTGTTCCTGTCTGCCGATAAGTGGGGAAATGAGCAGGATGGAGGTGCTGGAAAACACGGGTGGGGGATCAAGACGGAAGACGTTATTGTTGCATTGTCTCAAAAGGCTGGATGTGCTCTTGTTTTTTCTCTGTGGCCGTGGCCTTTTAGGTGACACACACACCCACACACTTTGTACATGATTTAAACAATAAACACACGGCTCTGTCCGGTGTAACAGTTTACAGCCAGAGGATCTGGGTCAGCGGAGCCGTTAAACAACCTATTGACTCAAGATTTGACACAGATCTCAACTACTTGTATTACACGTGTGTGTGTGTGTGTGTGTGTGTGCGTGCTATGCACAGGGACACACACACACATTACACAGTGGTCAGCCAGTTTACCGACCACCCTTTTAACATGCCGCAGCTGAATGGCTGCTTTCTTCTTTCTGACCGAGTGATATAATGGCTTCACACACCCTGAATTACAGACACACCCTGCTGCTATGCCCACTAACGGAGGAAAGGGGGGTGACTAGGTCTCAGTGAAAAGGAGAGGGAGGGGAGATAGTGAGGTCAGAAGTGTCCATATTTGGTAAAACATGCCGACATTTCTCTCTGTGCCCACTCGTGTTTGCTTTTTGTCTCCTGGCCTCGTTGTCTATTTTGTGTCCTTTGTGTACTTTTCACCGCACATGGTTTCTGTCAAACATTAACCCTTTTTTTGTTTTAATTCGTTCATTTGAAGTCCCTCTCTCTTCCCCTCTCTTGGCATCTGGTCCCGCTCAAGGGACGGGGGGGGGGGGGGCCTCACCTTTGACCTCCCCCGCTGAAAGTTTCTGATATTTCCCCATCCATCCCGGAGAGAGGAGAGCCGGGAATGTGTGAGATTTATTGAGCTTTTCCAAAGGCAGGCGTGCCAAACATTCGGCGGCTCTGCTCCACGTGCGTGTGAGGCCCGGCTGCCAAGCGAGGAGGGAAACCACACACGGCCGCATTCCTTTCACAGTGACACGTAAATCACAGAATTCTCCCATGTTTGCCAGCCCGTGGCGGCCATACCGGAGCCCCTGGTACGATCTGACCTCCGCGGGTCAAGAGTCGGCCTCTGCGCCGACTGTGCGAGCGCGCGGTCCGGTTTGACGGGGCGACATTTGCGTCGGGTCTCGTCGAAAGTCATCGAGGGTCCGCGGAGCGCGAGCTGGCAGCATCTGTTTCTCGTTCCTGCGCCGCCTCCCAGATGTGTGGAAGGGGAGACTGGACACGAAGAGGTCGAGAGTGGAATGACCTTTTTGGTTCTTATCTAGTGCTTCTTCTTTTTCCAGGCAGCTCCCACAGGCGTGTTAGATGTTTACCTACATTCTGGATGTAGAGCATCTACACCGGTTTTTCAAAACTCATAAATGTCATTCTCGAGGTCAAAGCGGGCCACAATTTGAATGTGTGATGTCACTGAGTAGAAAAGTGGTGCTGCTCGACGGACTGGCTTGGGAATATTACTGTGGACTGTTTGTGTTTGTGTGCCCATTTTCTGCTGCAGCTCTGGTTACGCTACAATGGAATATAGCTAATTTGGTTATAAATGAAGGTAGACAAACATTCAAGGTCTCCCGCTCATTGTGTACGGAGCAGGTTCAGATATCATATCTGGTGACATCACAATGTTCGAACTGTTTGAACTGTTCGGGGATGGAAATAACATATTTGAATATTTAAAGAGACCCATAGCCTTATATTACTAACCTGCAGCAATATATTTTATTATATTTTACTTGATTCCTCTTGCACTATGTTGTTTTGTTGTCCATTGTCGTACCGTCTGCTGTCATGCACCACCCGCCGTCATGCACCACCCGCCAAGTCAAATTCCTTGGTAATATTATGGTAATAAATGTTTCCTGATTCCTGAGACGTATCGCGGCAATTTCATGGAACGAGCCTGGACACGTTTCCATACACGAACACTCCCTGCTACCTGAAATACCTGGGACACATTCAAAATGTTCACCTGTAAAACTGCCCAGATATTGTTTTGTTTGTGACATTTAATCTCACAGTTTATTCATTTGCTATCTCGATCATTTGTCCATACTTATGTATATTTCACAATTTGAACCATTTATTTGTTGCTTTTACATGAACTGTTCAGACTTTTCTTCTCACTTGCTAACTTTAATTCCAATGAATTCTCAATCACAACAGGTGGGGCTGGAGTTAAAAAGACAACTCACAAGCCGTAAATGTGAATATTTATCTATTTTGGAATGAGAATTAAAATTTTCAAACACAGGACAATCTATCTACGTATATGGAGACAGCACAAGTACCACCTAGTGTAGTTGGTTCCCTGCTTGGAAATCCCTAGCGTGAATTATCTAAGTTTGGACCACTGATTGAAAGAAGTATTTTTTTACACTTTACTGTTCCTTTCTAACACTCTGGTCCCTGGTTGTGACATGCGTTGTGCGTTGGCTTTGTGCCGTCAGCCCTTTGATTTAATCTGGAATCCTGTAACGAGTCAGGCCTTTTTTTTTGCCAACAACCGTCAAGGTTGATGTGAGGACTGAACAAGTGCCTTCCCTCCTTCACATCAATAACACGATCGCCCGCGGCGGTTCCCACATAGCATCAACACGCCTGGTCGTGAAATCTAGGCTCACCTGTTCTGAGCGAGGGACACCTGTTAGGCACCTGTCTGTTCTACACTTCACGTCTCGTTAGGTCTCCTGATGTGATTGTCAGTGCGAGAGGTGCACTGGTGGATTTAAAAGAGTTCAGTTATTTAAAAGTGTTGCTTAAGATGACTTTATAGTTTACTTTACACTTTATCCAAATATTGTTTTAGTTTTTTTAAACTTGCATCTAAGAGCTCTTGTGAGCACTAGTGAGAATTCAAACATTCAAAATGTTTGAATTCCCCTGTTGGAAATGATTTATTAAAAGTAACATGATTAATTGAGAGGTTCAAGTCCAACATCCATCCTGCCAAAGTGTCCAAGGGCCAGGCACTAAATCTCCATAAGCTCCCATGTCTGCTCCTGACCTCTAACCACATTTTGGAACAGAGAAAGAAATAATTAGAAGAAGAAAGTGCTGTATTATCCCTAATACTATATATAATATAATATTTTCCATATCATCTAGAGGCAAGTATACAGTTTTAAAAATGTTTAATTATTGAGTAGATGTAACACAATTACATGCATGATATTAGTAGCATTATAAGGTAGTGAATTTGGCAGCCTTACAGCATAAAACTGCTGGACTCAGTTGTTTTCAAAGCGAACGACGAGACCATGTTGACACACGAGGGAGGCTGTGCAGGATGCAGTGCATCCTGAGAGTTGACTGCTACTTATATGGTCATAAAAATCCTTAGTATGCACATAGCTCTCTCATTGAACACAGCTTTGTCCGTTCCCCCCTCTCCTCCCTTTCTCCTCACGGCTTTCAAGTTCAGCGTTCATCTGCGCATCTCGCCTGCGCAGCGGCCGTCACCCCTCCAGTTGATTGGTCCAAAGTGTGCGGATTATCAAAGCGCGGCGGCCATTGGCCAGAGCGGCTGTTTGCGATGGCGGGGGCCCGCCCCCTCCGGTCCCGGGCCGCACCCCGGCCGGCTACGTACTGACTGATGTTACGCGAACCAGTAAGCAGCTAGCAGAAGAGGGAGGGCCGAAGGAAAGGGGGGGAGAAAGGGGGAAAAAAAGAGAGAGAAAAAGCAAAGATAGAGTGATTGGAGTGGAGGAAGAGAGGGAGGACGCGAGCGCTGTAGTTTAGCCTGAAACTCTCTGCTGTCGACGGGAAACGAAGTTTGACTCAAGGCGACGCTGACTGAGCCACCCGGTAGTTGTTTGCTACAACCAGCCCCCCCAAAAAGGCGTCCTGCACCCAA